GCTGTTCCTCTATAATCGCATGGCGTCTCTTTGACTCATAGAAAGTGGTCTAGACTTTGTCTTTTTATCTGAGAACATTATCTTAGGAGAAATACAAGAAGGTTTTTTGCTAACAAGTTTTAGAAAAAGTGGTCGGAAGGCTTGATATGTGCCTCTGTTTTCGCTTCATGAATGTAACATTGTCAGTGCATTAAACAAATTATAATCAGTTAAAGCAGTACGCCCACTTTTGAAAATTTTTAATTTCGCTTTTTTATGAGTTTTACCAAAACCGTATGCGAAAGGCTGTCTTCTGTGTTTTACTTTAACTAATGACATTTTAAATAGAGGTGAAAAAAGCATCTCCAAAGTTTTGAGAAATTACTCTCGTAAAATCTTTTGCGCTATAACAGATTAAAAATTGGTATGGCGTTTATTCGAATTTGAGGGTTACGGGCAGGAATTGAGTGTGAGGTTGAAAATGACCCCCTGCTCTTATAGTAACCTCATACGGGCGAGCCATTCTTCAGCTGCTTCTGAAAGCCTCAGAAAATCCTATTAAAATCTTGTTTTTTTTAAACATTGAAGGTTTTTTAAAAAAGTAATGTTTTGCAAGAAAATACTAGCGAGTTATTGATTTCTAAAGTTGTTATAGGTGGCTTTATTTCCAGCGTTTCCTGCTTTTCATATTTTATGGCTGGCTAAGATAGCCATTAAGAAGCATTTAGCTCACGAAAAATGAAAGCGCTGATAAAGTTTGTTGTGACAAAAACCTTGAAAAACAGTGGGTTTCGTATGCAAAATATAACTGGGATACGAGAATTTCATTTCGACGATAGAGAGTGGAGAGAGTTCTAGCTTGCAGAAAAGCTTCCTTAATCTTCTCATTAAAGGATTGGCTGTGTGAGCAAACATGAGCTTCGCGCAACGTTCTTTTGTTGAAATTGTACGTTGTAACCTCATAAGTCGACTAGGCTACATAACTTTTGAAAAGAAGATGCATTTTTACGTAACTGGATAAAAGAATAGATTTTTGAACTTCTTTATGAAGCGTGAATATAAACTAGATGTACGGTTTTGTTGTGAATAAGGCAAAAAGCAAGAATACTAGAACTAAAGGCTATTTCTAGTAAGTCTACAGAACCGTAAATCACCATTGTTTTTGTGTAAAACATAACGTTCTTGACGAATTTTCCACGATTTTCGCGACAGCACGCGAAACGCAAATGCGCTACAAGGTCGACGTCATTCCCTGAAGGGACCCCTTCGGAGGGGTGACCGTCGGTCCCTCAAGCGACCCCTCAAGAAAGTGGACAGTGGGTCAGGCGACAAAATAATAGTCATAAAAGAGGCTGAAAGGCTTCTTATGTTTAATATTTAATGTTCAACGGTTATTAGACTTCGGTCTAAAGTAGTTGGTTCGACGTTTGTATCCTGGTGCAGTTCCATCTTCTAATCGTCATTTGATCAATAACTTAGTTATTGATTGATCA